GACGTCATTTTCGGAATTATTACGTCATAAAAATAATAAAGTGACGTCACAATATGTGTATATTTTTTTTATCTTTCCAATGATATCAAACTCAATAATTTCCGTAAAACGGTTAATCTTTTATTAAACAGTTGCCAGAACTTTTGAAATGCCCCTCGTATATTTTCATTCCCAAGTAACTATAAGGCCTACCTGAACCTAACTTGCATGGATGATGCATCTAGGGATGGACACTACCAGACTTGCTTCGGATGCTGTATCTGACCTATATTTTCATTCCCAAGTAACTGTAAGCCCTACCTGAACCAAACTTGCATGGATGATGCATCTAGCAATGGACACTACCAGACCTGCTTCGGATGCTGGATCTGACCTATATTTTAATTCCCTAGTAACTGTAACCCCTACCTGAACCAAACTGATCAAATTTTATACACATAGGAATTTTCATGTTGCTTTACCAATATATCCTCGGCGGTCCATTCATGTCCTATGGACATATTTCTAGTTTCATTAATACTAGTGTTGGCAAATCGGACGATTTTTAGTAACCGGTTACTCGCTTAATCTTCCGATCGAGTACCCGGTTACTCGGATTATTTTTTGCCATAGTTTCCGTATTTAATATTAACCTCCTTATTGGTAAAAATTAACCACAAATGCAACGTATATAAATTTTATTTATTTACAAATACAAACTTTAAAAAACACACAACTTTTTCGAAGAATATTGATTTTAAATGTCACGCCAAACGGTCCGTTTGTTTTCATTTAAGAAAAAAAATAATCAATACATGAAGAAGTAACGTGTTGCGATCGAGAAGAGTTAATATACCCTGTAATTGCTGGTTGTTTTTTGTGGAGTTTCCTGCAAGTCACTGGTTTCCGAATTTTGTGTCAATCTAAGGTTATTTAGCATATGTGTAGTCCCACCCGTATATGACAGCTCCGATTCACATAATTTGCATCTGACAGATTTCGATTCAGTCTTTCTTTTACTGTTCAAAAGTTATGGCCAAAGTAAAAAATTGAATTTTTTGTTTAAAGGTGGGTCAAATTCCAAGGTCGAGGCCAAAAGGTCAAATTTGGTGGTACCCAAAGAAAGGTCTTCTTACAAGAAATACACTTGTGAAATATGAAAGTCACAGCTCCACTAAATCAAAAGTTATGGACAAGGTTAAAGTTTTTGCAGAAAAACAGACAAACAGAGAGACAGACAGACAGATGGACACGACAAAAACTATATACACCATGAAACTTCGTTTACGGGGCATAATATGCTCTGTAAAGCTATGGGCTAGTGTAAAAAACACATTCCACTAATGCAAAAACTATACATGTAGACATAACCTTTTGATTTATCACACAGTATATTCATTACATTTCTTAATTCTTGTTTTACTCCACCCTTTTACTCAGTTCTGAGTATAGTTTTAGCTCACCTGAGCTGAAAGCTCAAGTGAGCTTTTCTGATCACATTTTGTCCGGCGTCCCTCTGTCTGTCTAGCTGTCCGTCTGTCTGTAAACTTTTCACATTTTCGACTTCTTCTCATGAACTGCTGGGCCAATTTCAACCAAACTTCCCACAAAGTATCCTTGGGTGAAGGGGATTCAAGTTTGTTGAAATGAAGGGCCACGTTCTCATTCAAGGGGAGTGAATTGGGAATTAATGAAAATTTGGTGGCATATCTCAAAAATCTTCTTCTCAGAACCACTGTGCCAGGAAATATGAAACTTATGGGGAAACATCCTCAGGTAGTGTAGAATCAAGTTTGTTCAAATCATGACCCCTGGGGGTAGGGTGGGGCCAAAATTGCCGACCAAATATTACATAGAAATATATAGGAAAATTCTTTAAAAATCTTCTTCTCAAGAATAACAAAGCCATAATTCATCATATTTATATGGTAGCATGCTCAGGTAGTGTAGATTCAAGTTTGTTTAAATCATGACCCCGGGGGTAGGGCGGGGCTAAAATGGCCGACCAAAGTTTTACATAGAAATGTATAGGAAAATTCTTTAAAAATCTTCTTCTTAAGAATGACAAAGCCATAATTCATCATATTTATATGGAAGCATGCTCAGGTAGTGTAGATTCAAGCTTGTTCAAATCATGACCCCTGGGGGTAGGGCGGGGCCAAATTGGCCGACCAACGTTTTACTTAAGGAATGAAGCTAATTTCAACTTATGTTATACTATATAATATAACTTGGTACAGTTTAAGCTTTATAAACCGCGAAGCGGTTTATAAAAAAGCGTAAACTGCCCCAAGTTATGTTATATCGTATAACATAAGTTGAAATTAGCTTCATTCCTTATAATTTAATTTCAGTTATGTCAATAAGACAATTTTTCCTCCAGAAGAAGACTTCAAATTGAGCATTATTTTAAAAGTAACGTCAAGCGGAGTATTACGTTTTTGACGTAAGTCATTGTGACGTAGGCAAGTTATATTATCCTAAATATTATATGTTCCTCTGAAGGATTCAGCCAATGAAATAGCTTGATACAAGTGAAATTAAATTATATAGATATATATAGGAAAATTCTTTAAAAATCTTCTTCGTAAGAATGACAAAGCCATAATCCATCATATTTATAAATAAGCATGCTTAGGTAGTGTAGATTCAGGTTTGTTTAAATCATGACCCCGGGGGTAGGGCGGGGCCAAAATGGCCGTCCAAAGTTTTACATAGAAATATATAGGAAAATTCTTTAAAAATCTTCTTCTCAAGAATAACAAAGCCATAATTCATCATATTTATATGGAAGCATGCTCAGGTAGTGTAGATTCAAGATTGTTTAAATCATGACCCCGGGGGTAGGGCGGGGCCAAAATGGCCGTCCAAAATTTTACATAGAAATGTATATAGGAAAATTCTTTAAAAATCTTCTTCTCAAGAATGACAAAGCCATAATTCATCATATTTATATGGAAGCATGCTCAGGTAGTGTAGATTCAAGTTTGTTCAAATCATGACACCCTGGGGGTAGGGTGGGGCCAAAATGGCCGATTAAATTTTTACATAGGAGTGTAGAGGAAAACTCTTTAAAAATCTTCTTCTCAAGAACAACAGGGCCAGGAAAGATGACACTCATCCTCAGGTAATGTAGATTCAAGTTGGTTCAAATCATGACCCCCGGGGCAAGGGTGGGGCCAAAATGGCCGACCCAATTTAAGTTTTACATAGGAATATATAGGAAAAATCTTTAAACATTTTGTACTCAAGAATCACTAGACCAGGAAAGGTGAAACTCACGTGGAATCATCCTCAGGTAGTGTAGATTCAAATGTTTTCAAATGATGACCCCGGGGCTAGGGTGGGGCCAAAATAGCCGACCCAAGTTCTACATAGAAATATATAGGAAAAATCTTTAAAAATCTTCTTCTCCAGAACCACTGGACCAGAAAAGGTGAGACTCATGTGGAATCATCCTCAGGTAGTGTGTATTCAGTATATATAAGTTTGTTCAAATCTTGACCCCGGGGCTAGGGTGGGGCCAAAATGGGATATATAGGGAAACCTTTTAAAATCTTCTTTTCAAGTACTTCAAAGCTATGATTAGTGTTATTCATATGGAATCATCCTCAGGTAGTGTAGATTCTAGTTTGTTCAAATGATGAATGCCTGGGGGTGGGGAGGGGTTTAAATTCAAGCCTGATGTGCTCAGGTTAGTGCTGTGGCCCCTGGGCCTCTTGTTTGTGTTAAAAACTGTTACTTATTGTTTGAGAAGATTAGTATTTGACACGACAATATTTGAGAACTTGTTTTTTTTTCGTTAGGCCTATAAATTAGCCATTTCAAATTTCAGCAATGTTAGGGTAATATTGTTGTGATATATTCATATGCACTGTTTTTGATGCATAAATGTTAGAGTGAAGTGAAAGAAAGGTTTATTTAATTAATTTAAAATCGTAATTAAATGATAAAAAATGAATGTAATAATTTTCATCGTTTTCATCATTGATGATGTTTTCCAATCAAATTTTTTTCTTTGATACTTCAATCAAAGGAAAAAAATATTACATTCATTTCTTAAATCACTGTGTATTTGTCTAACTTACTGTCCATTTCTTTGTCTGTGCAATCATGCCCAGAGCAAAACTTCAAAATTGGAATAATTAATATTAAAGTCTACACTGATTACAATAATTATGTGTGTTGACCTTGACCCAGCTTTACTTCATTAAGTTCAAGGCCACAGATCACCCCTGTCAAAGTCTCAGATAAAGGTCTATTTTCATTTAATTGTGATATAGGACTTACTTATTAACGTACACAAATGTACATGTTATGAATTTCTTTTATGGAGGCCGAGAGATTCCTCCCATCGAAATATGGCTAAAATATTGCCTACTCGGTGTGAAATAACAATAATTAATCAATCATCAGAGATGCCTGTATTCTTCTTGGTGCTCATTGAAAAATGATTGACATCTAGTGGTGGAAATCGATAACTTGAAGCCGTCATTTCTTTAGAACTTATTTGGCCTTTTCAACAAACAGACAAACAACCTCAAATGTCCATGACAACAACCCTTTTCAGAAACAGTTAAATATTTGGGAGGAGATCTGTTATCTGTATAATACTAATATAAATAGGAAGTTTACTCTATTTTGTATAGAATTTGAAAAACCGATGACGTAAATACATTCAAGGTGTTTTTCTGACAGTGTATATATTTATACCCCCCCTCGCATGGAAAGTTGGAGGGTATACTGTAATCGGTATGTCCGTCCGTCCGTCTGTTAGACTTTGGGGTATCCATCTCTTATCCGCAACTCCTCTTATACCATTGAGTAAAATTTTATAAAAATTTCATAGAATCTTTATTACATGTACATATTGCCATTGTGCACCTCCTATTTTATTTTTTAATCGGACACATATTTTGGGTTTCCCGGCCACAGCAAAACATGGACTTTGCCATTATAATCAAATGGCAGATGGGGGTATCATTGCTCACAGTATCTCTAGTTCTTATTTTTTTTTGTAGGTGGAAATACACTTTTGATATGCCTTCTTCTTTCCAATTCCTACAAAATAAACATGAAAAAAGGAAACTGGATGACGAAATATAATGCTGTTGCCAAAAGTTTTCATTCCAAGGAAATCACAAAGCCACTTACTCTTACAGATTTAGAAGAATACAAGCCAATTCTGAAACTCAATGAATCAGAGATCAGTTTTTCCAATGAATGCTTCAAAGATATCAGTTTCTTAAAATTATTAAAGAGTCCTAAAATAATCAGAGACAGGAATAGAGTTTATACAGTAAACTTTACTGATATTTTCTTGACTTGGGCAGAAAAAGAAAACATTGCTGAGTACTGTAGATCCTGGAATTATCAGAGAGGAGAGGATGAAGTTTGCTGTTGGTTAATGCCAGATAAAAATGAAGAGTTTTTAACACGACTAGGAGAAGATATTTTCACGAACCCAACAATGGAGGACCAGTCATTCCATGAGGCCGTATTTAGAAAATGTAGGTCTATTTTCAGCTCACCTGAACCAATTACTTGGATAAAATTTAACAATAGAAGTTTTTTGCTAATGAGTAACATGTATTTTATTTGTCCCTGATTTCATCTATAACTTAAACTTTCAAATCTTTTTTTCCCCTTTTAATCCTTTACATTGATGTTGTAAGTTAAGTACGATAGACACTCAACTCACCTGAGTCATTCATCTTTGAAGAATGGTTAGAGTCCTTTTATCATCTGTAGACTGTGTAATGTTGTGAGAGAGGTAAAAGAACACGTCTGTCTAGTTTACTAACTATTTATTAAGTGACCATCAGATTGAACATATTCCCATGCATATGATAATGATTGACAACAGATGAAATTAGGGAGAGGACTTTATCCGCGCGAACTGATAATGTCAGAGAGCAGTGCTTGATTGAAAATAAACATTCTGATGCTGGCATGATAATTGTTAATTACAGATTGACAGATTTAATTTAGAGTATAAACATTACAGACTGTACTCATTGGACATCCTTTTTAATAGAATCTTTTTACCAAATTTAATGAAACTTAAATGAAATCATTCTTAGGTAATTTGAGGAGGTATACATTTAAGATTTTCCGAAACTTATGCCATTTTTCAAAGATAGATTATATGCTACTTTTGATTCACGATTTTATCTTGGGTAGAATGCAATTTTTGTCACAATTACAGCTTCTTCAAATAAGTATGCAATTCAGTTTGTGTTATATCAAATTTTAACATGTTATTATGTTGCATGTATTGGCTTATGATCATTGCTAGACAAACAGATCTATGTTTTAAAAAGTATAAGCTGAGTATTGTTTTAACAGTAAAGGTATTCTAATTTAACTAAGATAAAAATGTTAATCTTTCTTTTCTACTTATATTTTTAATTCACATACTGATAAGGGATAAATAAATCACTGACAATTCTACGTTCGATAATTGGATCTCGAGAATAGGAAAGTTATCTTTGTGATTGTTTATAATCATTTGTTTGACTCCGTCACAGCTATGTAATGCTAGAGTTTTGTCATTATAGATGGAATACCAATGCAGATCATCTTAAGGGGAGATAAATCTGTGAAGAATTTCATCGAAAATCTGAAGAAAGGGAAGACAACCATGTACCACGCCTCTGGGATGATAATAGGGTGTGCTGGTAGTGGTAAAACAACATTGTTAGAGAGACTGAAGGGCATTGACCTGGAAGAAATAAAGAAAAATATCAGTTCAACCCGGGGAGTCGATATCCACACAGATGTCTTTGATGTGAAGGATAGCATCCAAGGTATAATTCTTTATTCATTGTTTTCATTGATCCTGATGAATAACTATTGTATGATGGACTTCAAATTAAAACAAAATGGATCATTTCACAACGGTCATATTAAGGACCCTCTCTACACAAGTGCATTTTTTTTTGACATTGAGAAAAATATATTGTATAAAGGAGTTAATATTTTGTTTATTTATTTAGTTTTCACTATATGGTGCGTGACATATACCCCCGGGAAAATTGATCAAAGACAACACAGTATCAGTGAATAGAAATCACTGTTAATTACTTCAGTTGAGAAAATACATGTAAATAACATGTTCAATTAATTTATCTTGGCCTTTTAAAATGATAAAAATACTTAAATCAATTACAAATTGAGTAGTATATTGTAAATTTCTATTTTTTAGAATTTAGATCTAAGGGCAGATCACTCTTACTGCAGAAAAATACCTTAGAATCGGCACTCTTTAGTGTGCAGTGTAGAGAGGGTTCTTAAGACACACAGTACGAACTGAAAGAAATTGACTTAAGATTTTTGTGAACAAAGTGACCAAATTAAATCTTCTGATCCAATTGCCCACAAAAGCGGATGTTATGGCCATTGTGTGGTATGTGTATTTAGCTCACCTCAGCCGGCGGCTCAAATGAGCTTTTCTGATCAAATTTTGTCAATTTTCTGCTGTTATCAATTGAATGTCGTTGTCTTTAACTTTTCAAACTTTATATTCTTCTACAGAACAACTGAGTCGATTTCAACCAAACTTGACAAATTTGATTTAGTTTATTAAACGAAGGGCCCCACCTTCTTTCAAGGGGAGACAGAGACTTTTTATCCCCCCTCCTTCGAAGAAGGGAGGGCATATTGCTCTGCTGCTGTCTGTTGGTCGGTCTGTCTGTCCACTCTTCGTTCATCTTCCTCTCAACCGTTGCACATACGGATGTGAAATTGGCGCCATTTTTTACAGTGTTATGAACTTGGACTTGTACAAATTTAGATTATTTGCAGTTTCCGCTAATTTTCCTCGTAAAGGTTGCACAAACTGAAATGAAATTTAATATACAGATTAATTAGATGAGTATCAAGGTCAAGTTATGTTTTGGGTATGATCGCATAATTTTTGACAGATTTTTGTCACTTGGAATTAAAAAAATTCCAATTTATGGGAGAGGGACATCAGTGTTTAACGAACATCTCTTGTTTTTCTTACCCATTAGGAAAGAGTCCGGTAACGATTCAATTAGGAAAAATACAAACGGACTTACCAGGCCCGTTCCCCTGGCTGTGGTTTCGCTAGATAGTAGATAGGGACAGTGGGAATCTCGTTAATCCATTCATGCACGTCACTAATGATTCAATTAGGAAAAATACAAGCAGAATTATCAAGAAATAAACTCCGACAACTTTCAAAGAGTTATCACAGAGAAAAAAATTAGAAATGGAAATATTTATGTACATGTCAAGGAATCTCGGAAAACAACTTTCATTACATAAAATAAAGTGATAGAAGGCAGTGTAGATCTTACTGTACATTTAGTTAATAAAACTTAAAAGTATAAAACAGATCACCAACACTTCCTGAGAATGCAGCAGTAAATTTATTTTGTTGACCGGTTTCGACCTGTGACGGTCGTCATCATTTAGTTAATTAGTACACAGTTAATTAAATTAATTAGGCTTAAGAGAGAGGAAAAGTAATTTCAAACCCCCTAAAATTGGAATTTCAAGTTTAGCACCAGGGACCTATATACTATCCCCTGCACAAGTATCAATATAAAAGCAGGGGTTAGAGTCAGAAGAATCTCGGATTCCAGATCTTCCGGACCCTCTCTCCTTGACCAATCTGGCTCATACTTCACCCACAAGTGCCTTTGGGTAACTGTGCTCCTTGAACCAGGTTTCTAGGTCAAAGGTCAAGGTCAATCAGTTGAATGTTTTTATTTTATAAATGCTCAAATCGGGGTATTTATCTACAACTAATCTATATGATTCTTAAAACATATGCATGCTTTTAAACATGCTTTGAAATCCAATAATTTCAGTTTCAATGCCATATCTAAAGCTGACCGAAGACTCAAGTGACCTTTTATAATCATATTTTGTCCGGTGTCCAACTGTTTTTTGCTTCGACTACTTCTCAAAAATTTCAACCAAACTTGCCACAAAGTATTCGTTGGTGAAGAAAATCATAGTTTGTTCAAAAGAATGGCCATGCTCTCTTTCGAGGGAAGTTAATTATGAATTAGTGGAAAAAAGAAATCATTTTAAAATCTCCTTCACAAGAACCTCTGGACCAGGTAAAATGAAACGTGGAAGAATTCTCAAGTAGATAAGAGTAGATTCAAGTTTGTTCAAAACATGAGTGTCGAGCCGCAATAGGTGACCAAAGTTTAACAAAGAAAATTAATATATTTAGGAAAATAGCAAAGCTATGATTGGTCATATTCATATGGAAGATGGAGTAGATTGATTTATTTTCAAACTAAACAGGGTATTATTTAATCTCGGAATAATTATATGCTTCGGAATTTAACAAAATGTCGGTTTTTAATGTAGACCATATCTGTAGATTGTAGAAGCAGATCTACCTGTTGACATTTGCTGTAGAAGTCTTTCTATATAATGTAGAAGAATAAACCATGTTGAAATTTGCCGTAGAACCCTTTCTAAATAAGGTAGAAGAATAAATCATGTTGAAATTAGCCGTAGAACCCTTTCTATGTAATGGAGAAGAATAATTCATGTCTTTTTGTTTATAAAATATGTTTCATTCATGTATTTTCTTAACTTTATTCTTCTTTGTTCTTTATTTTGTACTGGGGTATATGTGTCTACTTTTATGTGCTTGTTGAAATTGTTCTACGTTCCGTAGTCGTGCCGGGCACGGACTACGCATACTACGCATGCGTCTGATCCGAGTCTCCGCTGTGTTGAATGACCCAGCAGTTTTGCCTACTACCGATTTCATAACGAAATAACTCACGAAAAACGAAAATACATACTGATACATATTCACTAGGACCACTGCAAACACTTACAAATATTTTTACAGCCTAAACATCGTTTAAATCCATTGAATAGCTAGAAAAACGCGTCCATGTTAACACCTCCAATGTTCCTACACAGTGCTGCAGTTCGACGTCACTTTTCAAAATACGACGTCACAGGTTTTGTTTTCCCGAACTTTCTAAAGCAAAATGGCGAATAGCATTGTAAGTAATATAAGGTATTATGTCGCTGTAAAATAATACAGGCAGATTATTCTTCGTGCCAAAAGTTCCCTTTTACCTAAGAAATCAAACACCACAAAAGCAAACAGAAGTGAAAAGTTTTTAGTACAGAAAACAAGCTGTAAAAATTGGAAGATCCAGGATCCACCCACGTGCTTCGCCTCCGCTAAGAGGTGCATATTTAGTGTGCAAGTCTCAAGTTTTCAAGCTTCTGTGACGTCACGCTCACGGACCCGTTTACTACAGAGGAATCAAGATAATACAAGAAAATCGGATGGGCTGAATTATCTATAAAAAATAAATTATATAAATAAAAAATGTTTAAATTTAAATTGAATGATTATGTGTAACGTAACCTGTTTTATAGACTTTGAATTTACGATTTACATGAATGTAGGTAGGTAAATTTACAAGTAAAAGGAGTAATGTCAATTATTTAAAACAATCAAAATTTAACACTTTCTACTTCCTGTCCCAATAAAAAAAAGAAGGTCTGAATTTAGTCCACCTCCCTTCCGAGAGAGAGAGAGAGAGAGAGAGAGAGAGAGAGAGAGGGGAGAGAGAGAGAGAGAGCACATGCTTAATACGATTTGTCGTCATTTTGCTACCTATTAAACGTTTTTAATTTTGTTTTTAATTTACAGGAAAGTCATATTTTTATGCAAAGTAGCTTAACAAATAGAAAAAAAAAAATTAAATTTAGTTTGTCTGAGCTTTAAAAATTTACGTCACATAAAATAAGACTTTCGAAATAATTTTCAGTTCTTCACAAGGATAAGGGATTTATAAGAATAATATCATTTTAAATTATTGAAAATAAAAACTTGGTTGTTCTCAATACATTATGATTTACATGTACTTGTAAAAGGAATCAACGATAAAAAAAAAGGCGAGATATATCAAATAACAGTGACGAGAATTGTTATGTTGGTAATGTCACCCCTCCCCCTTCACCCCACCCCAGACATTTATAATCATTATATGGACCATAGTTACAATATTTCAGAACTATTTTTCGTAAAAGTCAGACATTCAAATGAATTGGTGAATGGGGTAGCCTGAAGAAAAAAAATCCACGAATAACCAGGATTAAGCAACTCAAATTTTTAACATAGTAAAAAGTAATACGTGACTCTATAAAATACGAAAAACATTTTCAATAGACGAATTTAATAACATATACAGTGTTGCCCGTGTTTGCGTCCTCTCCCATTCATCTCTATTTTCTTTATCTCAACAGAAGTGCGAGATCTAAATATATGTTATTACATGAATGGCATACTAATGGACTGTACTGTACAAAGCTATATTCATCTTAAACTTCATTTTATTTCAGAATCACAATCGTGTTTATCATATATAACATAAGCGTCAGAACCGGGGGGAAGGGGGGGGGGGGTAACCCCCTTCCCACTTTTTTTTTTTAAATAGACATAATGTATAGCCTTTATGTTATTTTAGTCCCCCTTTTTATTTGCTTCCGACACTTATGTTTCGTCATTCCAGAATATCGAACTATGTAGCAAACTATGTTGTGAGCCCTCTTTATCTTTTTTTATTTAGTTTTTTTTTTCTAGATCATTTGAACATTATATAATCAGATATAATCAAGTGCTCCATCATGGATCTGACATTAGAATTACCACAGACAACCTGGGATAAGGATTCCCTCAGACAATATAGAAACTACTTAATTATAACACCCCCTCGCTTGAAAAGTTGAGTGTATATAGTGATCGGGATGTCCGTCCGTTTGTCTGTCTGTATGTTTGTAGGTTACGCTTTCGGTTACCCATTTCTTATCCTCAACTCCTCTTATATACCAATAACATACGAACATCCCGATCACTGTAACCTCCCGCTTTTCAATTGGGGTATAATAATGCGAATTTAAAGAATAT